AGTCTGAGAAACTGTCACAGCCCAGAGGAGCCTAAGGAGACATGGCAACTAAATGGAACGCAGTATCCTGGATGGAATCCTGGGGCACAGAAAGGACATGTAATGAAGAGTAAGGAAATCCGAATAAACTGTGAACTTTAATTAATAACAATGTAGGGGCACCTGGGTGGCTCGGTCAGTCAAGCGTCCAACGTTGGTTCAGGCCATGGTCTCGCGGTTCATGAGTTCGAGTCCTACGTTGGGCTGTACGCGCTTGGGGTTCTCTTTCTCTCTCTCTCTCCCTCCCTCTCTTTCTGCCCCTCCTCCATTCGCGTGCGCCCTTTCTCTCTTAGAATAAAAATAAATAAGCTTAAACAAAATGACGTCTTAGCAGTGGCTCACAAATTGGACGAACGTTAAGAGACTAAAACCAGGGGACACATGAGGCCCATGGGCAGTATCTGAACCACTGCGCCGACTTCTCGGTAAATCGAAAACTGTTCTAAACAGTTATTTAAAAGCCTCTGTCGTATACATTTCCTGAAGGTTTCCAGGTAAAACAATCAGACTGGTGTCCGAAAGAAGCTTCTGAAATCGACTCGGCTAAATACTTCCTAACCCCTTCTCCGCTAACAACGCAAATCCCCCGCGGGTCCTGCGTCTTCAGAGCTGCGCTCTTTTCCTACGACAGAGGCGCTGCGTCCGTCGCGCCTGCGGCGTCAGTTTCTCAGACGCCCTCCCGACACGGACGACAGGGACGGCCGGGCCCGGGAAGACCCGGAGAGCCAACCTGGTGCCTGCCGTTCTCGGAGGGGCCGCTGGGCGGCGGGGCCAGGTCTCCGCTGCTGCCTTAGCTTCTGGGGCCCAGGGCTTCAGCGAACGCGCTTCCTACTCGCATTTCCCAGGGCTCGTTAGGATGCAGCGTTCACGTCTACTCCTTGCAGAACTCACCGGCAACATCCTGCACTCGTCAGGTTTTGCCTTCATGCAGCGAACATCCTACGTCTTCGCCAGAGCGAGGGACGTAGCAAAAACAGCTGCCCGGAGGCAGTGAATGCGGAAGAAAAAGGAGGTAAAAGAATACAGCCGGTTCCACGGTCTTCGCTCAGTAAGAGAGTAAGTAACTTCGGAAACCCTGAATGGAGCTGGTGTCGAAGAAGAAAAGGGCTAGAACTCTTCATGGCTACACTTGTGTTTAAAGATCAAAGTTAAACTTTGTATTCTTCACTGGCACGTTTTCTCAAAACACTGGTTTGTTACTCTTTTCTTTCTTAAATCAACTAGATGTGCTTAATGAACGTCACTGTTAAAAGAGGAAAGAAATCTGAACTACTTCCTTGGCAAAAGGTCTCACCAGGGACTTCAAAGGACGCGCACAGTTACAAAATAACATTCGCCATCACCATGCTGGAAACACCCACGGGAGGGATTTTCATAGGCAGATAAAAATAATTTCTAAGGCTTGACAATAGCAAAAGCAGTTTTTCCTAGCTATTCTGAGTTTACTCTTTTAAAAATGTACATATTTAATTTAGGATTTTGAAATACGTGTTAAAAGGTAATAATACAGTCTCACGGTTAGGGGAAAAAAAGTTAGCTGATGAAAACTCTCTCTCTGCCCCTGCCTGCCAGTGCCCTCCTGTGTCCTGTGCTCAAATATACAAATAAATGGGAGTGTGTTATTACTTTTCTCCATTTTTACGTAAAAGGAGCACACAGGATTTTGACTAATATCAGCGCTCTTTCCATATGGGTACACAGAAAGCAACCATAATTTATTTACCCCAATGGACATTTACATTATTTCTGTTATTATTAACGATGCTGCAGTGAATATCCCCATGTACTTACAATTTGGACATATGCAAATATGGGATTGTATCCCAAATACAGAACTGCTGGGTGCAAGGATGCGTCTAGTTTTAATTCAACTAGATTCTGCCAAATTGTTCCATACGTGGTGTTAGGCCAGTATGCACTCCCAGAAGCTGAGTATGAAGTACCTGCTCCCCTGGGAGAACGAGGAGAGTATCCCTCTTGTGGATTTCTGCTAGTCGCATAGTTGATAACTGGTGTTTCAGTTCAGTTTCCATTTTGGATTTCTTACTCTGAGTGGTGCTGAGCCTCTATTCATTTGCTTAACATCCATCTGCATTTTATCAATTTGTGAACTTTCTGTCCACAATGAAAAGCATTTGGGAAGGTTGGGGGATTGGAGGAAGGAAAAAAGTAAGGGGAGGAAGAAGGAAATACATCTATTCAGTTCTGTACAAGGACAAAAATCTCATTTTTTTTTTTTTGGCTTACATTTAATCTGATTTATGGTGGAACATGTCTAATTCTAATGATGTTTTATTATTACTTGTTTATTAAGAAATTTTATTTTTAGAACAGTTTTAGTTTTGCAAAAAAAAAAAAAATTGCATAGAAAGTACAGAGAGTTCCCATACACCCTTCACTCCTCCAGTTTCCCCTTTTATTACCATTCTTTACTAGTGTGGTGCATTTGTCACAACCAAGAACCAGTATTATTAATTGAGGTCCACAGTTCACATGAGGGTTCTTTGTTATGGGTTTGTACAAATGCATAATGTCACGTATCCACAATTACTTATCATAAAGAATGGTTTTACTGCCCTAAACATCTGTGGGTCACCTATCCTTCCTCCCTTCCCCCAAACCTCTGGTGACCACTAATCTTTGTACTGTCTCTACAGTCTGCCTTTTCTAAAATGTCATATAGTTGGACTCCTACATCACTGTAGCCTTTACAGAATGGCCTCTTCCATTTGGTTACAGGCATTTAAGTTTCCTCTATGTCTTTTCATGGCTTGATAGCTCATTTCTTCTTAACTTAATGTTGGAAAACATTCCATTGTATGGATGTACCCTAGCTTGTGTCTCCAGTCATTTATTGAAGGACATCTTGATTGCTTCCAATTTTGGCAATCATGAAGAAAGCTTCTATAAACATACATGTGGAGGTTTCCGTGTGGACATAGGTTTTCGACTCCGTTGGGCAAGTATCTAGGTGGGCAATTGCTAGGATGTATGGTAAGGAGTGTGTTTAGTTTTGTAAGAAACTGCCAAATTGTCTTCCACAACTAAGGGAAAGAATCCAGTCTATAAAGGCTGCACTATTTGGCATTCCCATCAGCAGTGAATGAGCTGTTGGATTGTTTATTCATGGATTGTGTTCTTCTGTTTAGATTTAAGAGAACTTCGTATACTTTAGATACAAGTCTTTTAAGAGATGTGCCTTTTGCAGGTATTTTCTCCCAGTCTGTGGCTTGTCTTTTCCGTCTCTTACCATTATCTTTTGCGGAGCCTAAGTTTTTGATTTAGAAGAAGTCTCACTTGTCAATTATTTCTTTCATGCTTTTGGAACTGTATCTAAAAATTCACTGCCAAACCCTAGGTCACCTAGATTTTCTAGAAGTTTTATACTTTTGTCTTTTACATTTAGGTCTCTGATCCATTTTGAGTTAATTTTTGTGAAGGGTGTAAGGTCTGTGCCTAGATTCATTAGTTGGATGTCCAGTTGATTCACCACCATTTGTTGAAAAGACTATCTTTTCTCCATTGAATTGCCTTTGCTCCTTTGTCAAACACAAGTTGCTTATATTTATTGGATACAGTACAGGTCCCTCTGTTCTGTTCCACTGATCTATTTCTCTATTCTTTTGCCAAGACCACAGTCTTGATTCTGAAACGTTATAGTATGTCTTAGTGTCAGTCCTCCGACTTTGTTCTTCTTCTTCAGTATTGTGTTGGCTATTCTGGATCTTTTGCCTTTGCACATCAACTTTAGAATCAGTTAGTTGACATCCATCCACAAGAGAAATTATTGGGATTCTGATTGGAACTGCATTGACTCTACAGATCAAGTTGACGATAGTGAGTCCTCCCATCCATGAACATGGACTAACTCTCCATTTATATTTTCTTTTATTTCTTTCATCAGAGTTTTATAGCTTTCCTTATCAAGATCATATATGTGTGTGTGTGTGTATACATATATATACATATATATACATATATACACACACACACATATATATATACGTGTATGTATACATATATAGTTAGACTTAGGCCTAAATATTTCAATTTTTTAGCGGAGTGCTGCTAATGTAAATGGTATTGTGTTTTAAATTTCAAATTCCAATTTTCATTGCTAGTATATGGGAAAGCAACTGACTTTTGTTCTATTAGAATTGTTTTTAGAATCAAGTTAAAAAAATTAGTTGTCTATATGCCTGTGAATGCAACTGAAAACAGAAAATCTGATTCCTGAAACTGTGAAAAATTACATATCTGGCTTTTCACCTATACTAGAATCAGATTATCTAAGAGAGTTCCCTGGTTATGATAAAGAAATCTTTTCTATTAATAACTTTGTCATTTGTGATACATTTTTAAAAATCAAATGATAAACTTTAAATAAGATTCCTGAAAGTAATATTGAAGCCCACACGAACTAAAGCCGTATTAAAGGACCCTGTGCTTTAGGAAATATTGAGCACACCTGTGTTACAATGTGCTTCTATCAGAGGCACCTGGGTGGCTCAGTCGGTTAACCATCTGACTTCGGCTCAGGGCATGACCTAACAGTTCGTGAGTTCGAGCCCTGCACTGGGATCTGTGCTGACAGCTCAGAGCCTGGAGCCTGCTTCGGATTCTGTGTCTCCCTCTCTCACTACCCCTCCCCCCCCCTCAGAAATAAATAAACATTCAAACATTTTTTTAAAAAGTGTTTCTACCAAACTGTGGCACAGTTCTGAAAAATTGCATTTTGGTCATAAATTACTTAGTTTCTACTGTCCAGGCATTCTCTTCTACTGCTTAGGCTTTATAATATACTATTGAGAGTAGGTATCTTAAAGTTAATGTCTTTAAGATAAAGTTAACTTAAAAGTCTTAAAGATGATGTTGATCTGGTAAGAAGAAACTCTCCTTATTTTCAGCGTAAATTACGGAATAAATATGAAGTTTACAACATCTGAGCTGTGGTCTCTAAGTCTGCTGTCAACAGTTGCTCAAGGAATCTTCAGAGGAGGACTACTCGGTGTATAATGTAACTGCAGGGACATGCCTCCTACGTGCCCCATCAGGACTGCCGGGCGCATTCCCCCAGGTGCTCAGGGTGCTGCTGGAAGGCACCCCTCAGCTGAAGGAGGTCACCTTGCCGAAGCCCACCCTTCCCCGAGGCAGCCTGCACCCAAAGACTGGTAATTGGGGGGGATAGAATAAAAGCCTGGCCACTGTCCCAGCTTAAGAGCTCAGTGTGGGGGCGGCTGGCTCAGTCGGTCGAGCATCCGACTTCGGCTCAGGTCGTGATCTCGCGGTTTGTGAGTTCGAGCCCCACGTCGGGCTCTGTGCTGACCGCTCGGAGCCTTTAGCCTGCTTTGGATTCTGTGTCTCCCTCTGTCTCTGCCCCCTCTGCTCATGCTCTCTGTCTCTCAATAATAAACAAATGTTAAAAAAAAAAAAAAAAGAGCTCAGTGCGGAGTGGCTGAGCTCTCTGTTGAGACTGCACTGCCGCCCAGTTCTCCCTCGCTCCTTCCTGCTTCCTTCCCCTCTTGCCAGGTGGTGGTTCTCAAGGGCTCTCCCTAATAAATGTCCTGCACACCAGCGTCCACCTCAGAGTGTACTTCCTGGGGAAGCGGACCTGTGACAGCAATCAGTCAAATAATAAGGATGTTAAAGCACCTTTCCTGTGGCTTTGTCTAGGCATGGTGGTTAGTGAGGGAGGATGGGGCAGCAGAGGGGTGGGACAGGTGGTAAAAGAAATACGACCAAAACCCTTCCACACAAGGACCCTGCCATGTGGCTGAGGAATCTAAATGCACTTAGAGGAGCCTACAAAGTAATACAGATGAATTTTAAACAAATACACTAGAACGTATATATTCAAATAGCTGAGTCTGGGAGCTCTATGCTTATTTTAAAGGATTGGAATGGGTGGGGCACCTGGGTGGCTCAGTCAGCTACGCATCTGACCCTGGACTCTGGCTCAGGTCATGAGCTCACGGTTTGTGAGTTCCAGCCCCACATCAGCTCCACGCTGACAGTAGAGAGCCTGCTTGGGAATCTCAAGTTCTTGAGATTCTCTCTCCCTCTTTATTTGCCCCTTTCCTGCTCACGCTCTGTCTGTCTCTCTCTCTCAAAATAAATAAACAAAGAATTGTTTAAATAACTGGAATGGAAAAATCACACAAGATTTTTAGAACTCTTAGATGTTCAACCAGAGTGAGCAAATGAAAATGGCTTTTTGTTGTCATTGCTTTTCTATTTCCAATTGTATTGGGCAGTCTGGCCACCAAGGAAACTCCTAAGATTTGGTATCAAATTCTTTTTCCTACTCTAAAAGTCAAATCTACCCTCAAAGGCTAAAGATTTTTTACTAATAGGGGCGCCTGTGTGGCTCAGTCCGTTAAGCATTTGACTTTGGCTCAGGTCAAGATCTCAGGGTTCGTGAGTTCTAGCCCCATGTTGGGCTCTGTGCTGACACAGAGGGATTCTATGCCTCCCTTTCTCTCTCTGCCCCTCCCCTGCTGGTGCCATCTCTCTTTCTCTCAAAAATAAATAAACATCTTAAAAAAATTGTTACTAATGAAGCTGCCGGGCAATTCTAAAAGAGGCTTCCTTAATACTCTCTAGGCTTATAAATACATTCT